CTTCTAATAAAAAAGGAACACGTGAAGAATTTGCCACATAGGAATGGATTGGAGCATTCCAAATATCATATGTAATGTAGTTTTGTATTTGTTGACAGCTTCGAGAGCTAGAGAGGGGCGTTGACATTCTTGTTGCTACCCCTGGGAGATTGGTTGACCTTCTAGAAAGGGCAAGAGTGTCATTACAGTTTATCAGATATTTAGCTTTGGATGAAGCTGATAGAATGCTTGATATGGGATTCGAACCACAAATCAGGAAAATTGTGCAACAAATGGACATGCCCCCACCAGGTGTCAGACAAACAATGCTATTCAGTGCCACTTTCCCCAAAGAGATTCAGGTTTTTTTTTGGCGAAATTAATCTAATTCTGAAAAAGAAAAAGAAGTTTTTAATGATGACATGTAATGTAATAATAATAATATTATCATTATTATTATGTAGAGATTGGCTTCTGATTTTCTTGCAAACTACATATTTTTGGCTGTGGGAAGAGTTGGATCAAGTACTGATTTGATTGTGCAAAGAGTTGAATATGTACAAGAAAGTGACAAAAGAAGCCACCTTATGGACCTTCTTCATGCTCAAAGGGCCAATGGTACTCATGGAAAGGTATTTTTTTAGTATGTTTTTTTCATAAAAGACCCTGTGTTTTGTGTTTTTTCTGGATTAAGCCTCGACTTGATTCTCTTTCCTAAAAATGCCCTTGCATTTTTTCGTTTTTTCGATTTATATTTTAGATCTTTTTTTAGGTTTACTGGTAATCTTCCGGTTTTAGACATTAACTTTTTTTAAAAAAAAGATGAAAAGAAAATTTGGGGGCCTTTTGGGGAAAAAATTGTCCAACACCCGAAAATTTCCAGGAAACTTGCTTAAAGGGGACAAATTGGAAAAAATGGAAAAATGCAAGGTCTTTTTTAGAAAAACATAAAAGATGTGTTTTTTCCTAAATAAACCTCCTCTTTATTTTTTCATGAAAAAGACCTTATACATTTTCATTTTTTTTCAGAAAACCCTCAACTTTGTCTTTTTGGAAAAAAAACCCCTCAACCTTGTAAACGTTTCCAAATAAATCCTCGACTTTTTTAGTTTTTCCTGGAAAAACCCTCACATTTTACTACTTTTTTTAGAGAAAAATGACTAAAAGGTCCAAAGATTTGAAAAAAAATAAAGTTGAGGTTTAATCCAGAAAAAACACAAAATATAAGGTTTTTTTTTATGATATTAACCCGTTTTTCAATCTTTCTTTCTTAAAAAAAAATTCAAAATTTTCTCCCATTGATTAATATAATAAATGTTTAATGTTTTTTCAGCAAGCTCTTACATTGGTATTTGTGGAGACAAAAAAAGGAGCTGATTCATTGGAATATTGGTTATGCATGAATGGCTTTCCCGCAACCACTATTCATGGTGATAGAACACAACAGGTATTTATTTATTTATTTATATATATGTATATTTTAAAAAAATAATGTTTAATAAATACAAAAATGACCATTTTACCCTTTTTTGTAGGAACGCGAACAAGCATTAAGATCATTCAAAAGCGGAAACACACCAATCCTAGTGGCAACAGATGTAGCAGCACGTGGGCTCGACATCCCACACGTGGCCCACGTGGTCAACTTTGACCTCCCGAACGACATCGACGATTACGTCCACCGGATCGGAAGAACCGGCCGCGCCGGAAAATCCGGTCTCGCCACCGCCTTCTTCAACGACAACAACTCCTCCATGGCCCGCCCCCTCTCCGACCTCATGCAAGAAGCCAACCAAGAAGTCCCCGCCTGGCTCGCCCGTTACGCCGCCCGCGCTTCCTACGGCGGCGGCAAGAACCGCCGTGGCGGTGGTGGCCGCTTCGGCGGTCGTGACTTCCGGCGAGACTCCAATTTCAACCGCGGCGGCGGTGGAGATTATTATGGCGGTGGCGGCGGGAATATGAATAGCTATGGTGGAGCTTATGGCGGCGGATATGGTGGTGGCGGCGGCGGTGGGTATGGTGGTGGTGGTGGTGGTTATAATCCCGGTGTTGCGAGTGCTTGGGATTAATTAATATTATTATTATGATGATTATTATTATAATAGTTGTTTTTGGTGTAATTTACTTTTTTAACCCTTGATGGGTGAAGTTGGGTTTAGAGGATAGTTGGTCTTCTTCTTCTACTAACAGAGTAGGGTTAAAATTTGGTGGTTGATGGGTTGTGGTGGGTGGGTGATGACGTGGCATGTATACGATGATGATAAAAACGTATTTTTATTTTTTTATTTTCTGCAACCCGAGTTGAGGGTCTGTAGATTATTTGCGGCTTTTGTGTTGCTATTTTTCTGCAGAGCCTTGTTTATGGTTTAAAAATGAAAGTGTGCTTGTTTTTAAATGTTTTTTTTTTATTTTTATTATTATTTTTATTATAATTCTGGTTGTGTTGTTAGAAAGGTATTTATTTTGGTATGAAGTTAAGACTTAAGAGGTAGACGTATTGTGTAGTAAAGAAGTGTCGGTTTGGTGTTTGTTGAGAGAAAGAAGTTAATGTAGGTTGGTGATGTCTATTTATTGTAAAATATCTACTCAAAAGCTATATTTAATGTTCCTTTTTTTATAATTAAATTGTTGATACATTGATACAATGCTTGGTTATCTAATGAGTGGTATTTGATATTTTTAAAATGCTATCGACTATATATAATTGTAACTGATATGTTTTCATGTTAACAGATTAAAGTTTTTCCTAATATATTGAGTTATAGTGTTGTAATGCACCTGTTTAGTTGTTCTTATGTGGGCAAACTACAAAAAAAAGGTAGTGTTTGATCATTTTTGTAGGTTAATCAAATAGAAACAGCCTATGATTGACAATGTCAAAATCGCTTGACATGTTATACGAACAATTTGACAACTTTTTATATTACACTATTAATACCTAACATATTTAGTGATCGACATAGAAACAGTTGTCAAGCTTGAATGACAATGTGAAATTGCAAAATTTATAATATAGTGACTTTTTTAATCCACAAAACCGCAGCAGAGTGTTATTTTGAGTTAAGACAATTTTTTCAATTTGTGCATGAACAAAAAAGTTAATGATGGATTAGGTAGTTTGTAAAATTCTGGTTATGCGTGGAAAGCTGGGATCAATTATATAACGACGATAAACAATGAGTGGATGTTGTTTTGCATCAAAAAAGAAGAAGAATCGAAGGGTGCCGTTATATTTGACTTTAGAACATAAATACGAAAAAATCTCTGTTACAGAATCCGTTTAAGATTCTAATGAAAATTTGTGGGACGAATCGACATGAAACGATAATGTAATAAGTTGTTTATGTGGTAAAAAACAAAATAGCTTTGAAATTGGTTTTTCTGACTAGGAACAAATAAAACGTTTTTTTAGACGTTTTGAAGTAAATAAAGTAAATCATGTTTTGAGAGAACTAGATATCTGTTATATACCTTTACCTTTTGATCAATCATATTATAAAATATTGTTGTAGTTCATTAAGTTTCTATATTTTATTATTTTATCAAATAGCATTTAAGATATTTAACTTTTGATGAATTAAGTTGTAGGAAAAAAAAAAATAATATAACCAGCGGCCGGCAATTCAATATTTGACCTTAAGTCCTTAACAAAGCTATATTAATTAGCCTAATCAAAGATTAGTATTTTTTAGTATTTTTTTAGGCAAAATACATAAATTTCAATATATTTTGGTTCTTTTTATAGTATAATTGTTATATTTTTCTTTAATAAATAAAAGTCATTTAAATCTAATAATTTTCTATGTCGATCATTTTGATCTTCATTGACTTGTTATAACATGTTAACACGGTCATAATATAATATAAGTTTTATCAACATTTATATATATTGTAGTGTCAAAATTTGACAACACAATGCTCACTAGTCACTAATTTTGACAAAATTTTATATAGTGATCATTTTAACCTATTATAGTAGGTCCACATGGTTGATAATTTTTTTGCCACAAAAGTAAAATATAGTAGTGGTAAAACATTAAAAATGATAAAAATATAATGACTTTTACATAATTTATCATATTTTTTTTACGATCGTTCATAACAATTATGTTAATCTTGATCACACATGATTCTAAAACTCAACTTTATAAAATATACATTGTTTCGCAAATTGACCGATAAATTTACTTGTTCGTACTTATTGATTTCATAATTATTGACTTCTAAATCGCATCAAAATCTTAACAAATGGTAAATTTGAAATATAATATTGTTTATAAGGTATTAGTAAAATTTATTTCTATAATATAACCATTGCAAAAGATTTATTGTCTGAAAAAAAAGAGTTTACATCATTTCATTTAAAAGGATATCTCATAATATATCCCAAATTTAGAAAGAATAAATATTTTACATTCAATTCATTATTGTTTTTTTTAACCTTTTAGCCTAAAAAAATGCACTTTTTTTTGTCAAGATATATGCACAAACTATTGTAACATCAAAATAGATGTATATCAAATCAATGGTTTCCACTATGTTTCGATTTGCAAAAAAAAAAAAAAAATGATAATTATATAAAAAAGTATCATTTAAGTTGATAAAATTATTATCTTAAAACATGTCATTTAAATTGTATTTTACTATGTTAAGATCAAATGTCTTAATCTACAACCAAGAAAATTAAAAAAATTCTACATAATAAAAAATAATTAGTTATGCCACATACCCTTTATTTTGTCATAAATTAATCCCCATTTTTAGAAAATACAAAATAAATAGTATGTTTTAGAAGAATAATTAGTTTTACAAAAAAGAAATATATATACATTTTTTATATTTATAGACAAAAATCTATCATTCCCCATATATGATATTTTTGGAAACATAATCATTATTTGACAACAACAAAAAAATCTAATTCCAATAGTTATAGAAATAAATCACTCTAAAACAATAATATCCCAATTGAGAGTCAAAATTCACATATGAATATATGATGATGATATTCATATGAATGAATGTTCCACTTTCTTGACAACAAAATCAACACGTCTCCAGATGTAATTCCCCACTTAATCAAATTAGACTCTCTTCTCTTCACACCAAACAACACTCTCAAGTTTTTGAAGTTTCTGCAAAGCTCTTACTTTCAAGCACCAACAAACACACACACACACACACATCTTTCGTTACATTTTCATCTAAAATTAGAAGAAAAAAAGTCATTTTTTGGGTACTCGGGTTCCTTTTTTCTTTCTGAAATACCTTAATCTTTGGATCAGATTTCAAGATTGTCGATTATCGATCTGAAACACCATGTATTTCTTGATTATTTGATTTGTGGGTTATCATACGAAAAGAAATTGAATTTCTTTATATGAAATTACTGGAATTGTGAGCGAGATGGCTCAATTATCTGAACGTGAAAGGTCGCCTAATGTGCAGCGAAGGGGGTTTCGAGTTCAAGCTCCATTGGTGAGCCCCATGTCCTCTTTGACTTATTCTTGCTTATTGTTATGTACTTCGTTACTATATAAATGGTACCCACATCAAATTGTGCTCAAATTAACAGTTGTTTTTAACAATTATTGACATTATATGCATTGAATTTCTTGGGTTTTGATTCTTTACATCATCTTCCAGTAGTTTACGAGTATATAGATATACCCAGATGGAATTATGATGAAACGAACAATTTTTTTTATAAAATTGTTGATTTTAGGTTGTGGGTTTTGTTTCTTTACATAATCTTTGGGTAGATTACAAGTATCGAGAGGTACCCTTATGCAATTACGATGAAATGAGCATTTTCTTTTCAAGAATCATTGACCTTAGTTTATGGGTTTTGGTTCTTTACATCATCTGTGGAGTAGTGTATACTGTATAGCAATTTCCTGATGAAATTAGTCATACAATGTGCAAGATATGAAGAGTTTTAGACATTATTTATAGCAGGAAATCTGTTAAATGTGCTTTCTTTTAACAAGGTTTTGTTGATCTTAAAAATGGAGTACTAATTGTTGTCTGTTTGTTAATTCTGCCTTACAAAAACAGAGTTCATTTGCTAAATTATGAGTAAAAACTATTTGTTTCTCCCAATTGTCATCTATGACATCTATGACTTCAAGTTTCATTAATTAGTTTATAGTTATAGTATTTGTATAACCTAATTCTGCTTATGATTATCTAATTATTTTGGGGTCAAATTACTATCAAAGAGTATAATGCATTCTACAACTCCAAAACTACAAAAACACATCCAAACACCCACTATCTTCTTTTATAGCTTATTATCTAATTCTCATTGTCCTTCAAAAAAATGTTATTCTTCCAATTACCCCTAAGCTGGCCCACACCATCCCAGCCAGACTGTCAGAGTATCATGTCAGATGTAAATCAGATACACAGGTAGCCCAAATGACATCGGATATATGATGTCCGTCTCAAATAAATGTTGTATGACTTTTTTTGGACCGAGTGAACTATCTGAATTAACGTAATTGACCATTTTACCCTTCCGATTCAGGTGGATTCCGTATCATGCTATTGCAAAGTCGATGCGGGATTAAAAACAGTCGCCGGGGCCCGCAAATTCGTTCCCGGGTCAAAAATTTGCATCCAACCCGACATCAACCCACACGCACACAAAACCAAAAACAGCCGAAAAGAGCGGACCCGCATCCAACCGCCCCTCCTCCCGGGTCTCCCTGATGACCTGGCAATCGCGTGTCTAACGCGGGTCCCACGAGCCGAACACAACAAACTCCGGTTAGTTTCCAAAAGATTTTTCCGACTCTTATCAAGCAACTACTTTTACTCCCTTAGAAAAACCCTAGGAATGGCTGAAGAATGGGTTTATGTCTTCAAACGAGATCGTGATGGAAGAATCTCATGGCATGCATTCGACCCCACTTACCAAATTTGGCAACCACTTCCACCTGTCCCGGTTGATTACGAAAATGCCCTTGGGTTTGGATGTGCGGTTTTGAGCGGTTGTCATCTTTATTTATTTGGCGGGAAAGATCCTTTAAAGGGTTCGATGAGACGTGTGGTTTTTTATAATGCGAAAACAAATCGATGGCATAAAGCTCCCGATATGCAAAGAAAGCGACATTTTTTTGGATCTTGTGTTATAAACAATTGTCTTTATGTTGCGGGAGGTGAATGTGATGGGGTTCATAGGACTCTTCGATCTGTTGAAGTTTATGATCCAAATAAACGTCGATGGAGTTTTATTACAGATATGAGTACACCAATGGTGCCTTTTATTGGAGTCGTTTATAATGGAAAATGGTTCTTGAAAGGACTTGGGGCTCATAGAGAGGTTTTGAGTGAAGCGTATACACCAGAATCAAACACATGGGTGTCAATTACTGATGGAATGATTGCAGGGTGGAGGAATCCGAGTATTTCCATGAACGGAAAGCTTTTTGCTTTGGATTGTCGTGATGGGTGTAAAATTAGGGTTTATGAAGAGGACACGAATTCTTGGAAGAAGTTTATTGATAGTAAAGTTCATCTTGGAAGCTCGCCTGCTATGGAGGCAGCTGCTCTTGTGAATCTTAATGGGAAGTTGTGTATTATTCGGAATAATATGAGTATTAGTCTTGTTGATGTTTCGAGTAAAGATAAAAAAGTGGAAAGTAATCCGAATCTTTGGGAGAATATTGCGGGAAAAGGGCATATAAAGACTTTGTTTACAAATTTATGGTCGAGTATATCAGGGAGGAATGGGCAAAAGAGTCATATTGTGCATTGTCAGGTGCTTCAGGTATGATAAGTTCAAGAACAGGTTACAAATGTGTAAAGAATATGATCTTTAAATCCAAGAAAGCATAGGGTTTTTTTTGGCAATGGTTTGAAAAATTATTATATATATGAAGATTGATTCATTGGGCATCTGAAAACCTGTTGTTTTGTTAAAGGACATGGATTTGGTTGCAGATTGGAGACACCTGTATCTTTGAACGTATATGTCGTTATCTTCTTTCTTTATAAATGTGGTATGATTTTTTTTTTTTCAAGATCCAATTAGTATAGTTATGAAATGATTTGTGTATACATGTTGGTTAGAACTTAGGATTCCATGTTATGAATATTTAGATTACTTCTATTTTATGGACCTATTGCTTCTTGATTCTTTTACATTTTAAAAAACGTTTGAATCCAACTTGATGTTTGTATTATACAAATTACAAAATGGTTATCTTCTAGCAATCCGTTGTGCCAGCATCACTTTAAATTATTTTTGTAAAATTATTTGCAATAAAAGTATGGTAGGTTATAAGAGCCCAATAGTTATTAGACCAGTCCACATTTCCAAAGAATTGGAACTCCCACATAGAGATGCATATTGGCGGTTTCAGACCCGACTTGGGTCGGTCTGTTTTCAGGTCTTGGGCTTACCTTTTTAGGACCGGTCTTGGTCTTTTTTCGGTCCGGTCTAGTGGTCATTTTGGAGTTTTATTCGGCTCGTTTTCAAAGGTTTTTTTTGGTCCGGTTTTGATATTTTTCGGTTTTTTTGTTTATGTTTCGAGTTTTTCTGTTAATAAAACTGTGATTAACACAAAAATGATACATTAAGATTTACTGAAAATGATACACTAAAATTAATAGAAGAAAAAAGAAAGAAGTTGAGTAATGCGTGATTAAATATTTGTGTAATTAACACAAAAATGATATATTTATAAACTTTGGCTTCCGGTCTTTTTGAGATTGGTTTCCGACCGGTTTCGGGTTAGTTTTGGAACAATCTACTTTTGTCAAACCAGTCCAGATGGTATCAGTCTGTTCTTTTTTAGGACCGATTTTTTTGGTTCCGCTCTTGTTTTTGACTGGTTCGGTCTCAGTCATTTTTAGGACCAATCTTTGTCGTGGAGCTATTGACTGCCGACTACTTCTACAAGAAATATAATTTGAAGAAAAATTATGCAAGAAGTCTAATCTATATTGGAATTAGAATTCCCACACCATACTCTTGAGATTTGAAAAATTGAACCCATAAAAAAGAACCTTTATTATATTTGGTACAAGAATGATGGGATGTTGAATCTTTCTTTATTATTGTAATTATAAAACAATCAATCGAATCAAACAACTATTCTAGAAACCAAGTACTTCAATTCAAGCATCTCTCTTTATCATCTCATGAAACCATTTAAGCGATTCACAAGTGCATTGCTAAAGTTCTTGATGAAATCATTCGTTTTTTTATCAATATCCGTTCTCTCTACAATAACTTCAAATCTCCTTGATACCCTTCGTGTCATCTTTTTACCATTCTTTATGTCTA